TGAGATACTCGTTAAGTGAGTTTTGCCTCGTTTTATGATTTTCTGTCAACTCATCAAACATCCCTATGCCTGTTTTAGTAGTTGCCATAAAAAAGGGGGGGAATCTGATTTATGACACCACCTGTGAGGGGGGCGGGGACAGGATCATAGGGTACTGTAAATGATATAGGCCAGAGTTGGTGTCAAGTCATAAAACATTTTGTATACACGTTTTATAGTTGACAACAGAAAGAAGGGAGGGAGATTCAAAGAGCAGGTGGCAGTATGGAATCGAAAGTACTGTCATGCCCCTGGTGGAGTCTGACTCTGAGGAAGAGGAGGAACAGTCAACAGGGAGTGGGAGTGTGGCTCCAGAGGTGGTGGAGGAGGCTGAGGAAGGGCAGAGGCCAGCTGAGCAGTCAGAGGAGGATCCAGGCCCATCCTCTATCCATCCTAGGTCACACAGGGAGGAGAGGATCAGGGAAAAGTGAGGTCTACTCAAGAGGAGATTACCATGATCCTCCTCGTAGCTTGCACGTGGGAGCTATGTATATAAGTTTGCAACTGCGCAGTTGGAATTGCTGAAGTCAATTTAGTGTTCACCTTGAAAGAGGCTTATCTTTGCTGGTGTTATTCCCATGGACTTTTCTCAGCTATTCAGGAAAATAGCCGAGAAAAGTCCATGGGAAGAACACCAGGAAAGAGTTTATAATTAGTTATCTCGGCTTGCTTCAGAACTTTCATCAGTGCGGTTTGGTTTGGTTTTCTGTTTGCCTCCTTATTTACTTTTGTGACTTTAAACTGTGCCTAATAAAACAGTGAAGTTAAGTTGAAGGCTTTACCGGACTTTAATATATGTTTTGGGTTTTGGGTTATTTTGAGAGACTACGGTTCATCACAAGTACATTCCATTCATATTTTCTTCAAAGACTGATTAGATGACTGAAGCTTCTGCTGCAAAAAAATCTAATTGGAGAGCATGATTGATGATTCTTGGCTATGGATGTTTTTCGTTGGATGATACACCCAGAGGGGTGGGGCAGGAAAAGCAGGATCAGGGGTGACAGTGAATTACGGTATTACAGAAAGTGACAAAACAGGCCTATTATTCACCCTGCAAAGCCTGCAGAGGTGTTTTTCAAGCCTCTGGGAGGCCAAAAAAGGCCTCAAACCAGCCGAAAATCAGTTGTGAGGTGCTGCTGGTAAGGTGGCAGCGGAGGGGGGGATTGCACACGTATGCACGGGGGGGGGACGCATTGCCTTCCGGGTGCTGACATATGAGTGAGCGCGTGCAAGCACACACACAATTTTTGGCACAGGAGCCCAAAAGGTTAGCACTATATATTGCAATAATATCCATTGCCACTTGGTTTGAGTGAAACAAATGCATTTTATGGCTATTCATTCCCCAATTCTGCTTTCTTGAAAATTACAGTTGGGATTTTTTTTTTTTGGGGGGGGGGGGGTGTTCATGCACATTTTTAGCCATTAAGAAAGAACCAAGCTTCTCAAAACAATTAAATTTTTAATGACCGGTTTTTCAACTGAGCTGACTTCACCTTATCAAGAGTGGCTGATGGGATATGTAGTATGCCCAATCTGCTAGATTGAATTGGATGCATAGTGCCAGGTGCTAAGAGTGAGGAAGACTTGCTGAGTTCAAAGCACTGAAGAATTTATTATTTCTACCAATATACAGTATAAGAAGCAGGTGGACTAACAGTTAAAGGTAAAGGTCTATTGTGGCAATGCAGTGTTTCCAAACAAATGACATGTTTAACTCCACCTTCCATACCAGCTTGTTCATTTCTACAGGTTAGACTCTTGGAAGTGAAAGGGATGAGTGTGAAAAATCTCCCCTTCTACTTCCTCCATAATACAGGTAGCCCTCGACTTACAACATTGCACTTAGTGACAGTTGAAAGTTACAGTGGCACTGGAAAAATGGACCTATGACCATTTTTCACACTTATGACCATTGCAGCATCCCTGTGGTCATGTGATTTACATTCAGATGCTTGACAACTGACTCATATTTATGACGGTTGCAGGGTCCCCTGGTCACGTGATCCGCTTTTGCAACCTTCTGACACTAAGGATCCAGGTTTGGGTCAGACCACAGTGATTCACTTAACAAACATGGCGAGAAAAGTCATAAAACGGGATGAACTCACTTAACACATGCCTCACTTAGCAACATAAGTGTTGGGCTCAATTGTGGTCATAAGTTGAGGACTGTCTGTATGGCTTAGGGAATCATCCTTGTCTTATGTTCATTGGTCATAAGTCGAGGTCTAACTGTATTGCTTAGGGAAACATCCTTGTCTTAGATTGCTTCTTATTAGTGTTCAGCTGAGCTGCTTGGCTCCTACTTAGATGACATCTATGGGAACCTTTTTATGAATAAATGATGGTATATTTTGAAGGCAGCGGTTTGCGAATTGAAGTTAAGGAAAGAGAAAAAGCGCACACGAATTTACTTTTCCAGGGCTGACTTTAATCCTTTGTTAATCAACATAGACTTAGGATGGCTCTTCAGTGTGTTTACCTCCAAACTTCAAAATGCTATCAGGAAGGAGGAGGAGAAGGCAAAGGGGATGAGGAAGGGGAAGAAGGAAGAAGAAGGAGGAGGAGGAGGAGATTTAAAATATTGGAAGATAGATGGAGAGAGAGAGAGAGAGAGAGAGAGAGATGATAGAGAAATAATTGATATCTAGATAAATCAATAAAATATTGATGCAGAAGAAAAAGAGGAAGAGGAAGAAAAACAATAACAAAAACAGATTGATAAAACTCCATCTGATGAGTTAAACCTAGGTTTGTTCCAATTAACTGAATGCCAGCTGTTGCCTAGCGTGAGTGAGTTATTTCAGCCCATAAAGGAGGCATTTAAAGGAGAAGGAAAGCTGCAGCTATTTATCAATATTGTAATGAAGCATTAATTGTTTGTTCCATCAATTATTAATGTAGGAGCCTCGAGAAACCACCTCGCCTCCCCCTTTTTGAAAATGATTTTTAAAAAACCCTCAATCTGTTTGGTCTGCAAAAGAAAATGCCAGAAACTAATATTATTATTCTCTTTTTATTTGTTTTTTTGTTTTGCATAAATAACTCCAGACTTAGTCCATTTAGACTCCTTCTATCTTTAGCCCTTTAGCACTTCCCCAATCATGCTTATGAATATAAATTTTTATTTTATTTTATTTTACTTTTTTTTTTTTTGGTATTTCAAGTTAATTCTGAAGCTGGCCTGGCCTATGAATATTAATGTTCACACAGCTGATCTCTCTCTCTGCAAATGATCACATCCATAAACATGAAAACACGGTTAACTTACAGTAATGAGCACGCTCTTGGAATTTGGATCCCCAGCTGGCTTTACAAGCCTAATATTACATTTAATGCTATATTCTTCTCTTCTGTCTCATTCTTACTCCCTCTGGATCCTCTGTTATTAATTTAGCCTCCCTCCAGAAAGTGGGGCCTCTGTTAACTCCCGTGGGCGATGCAAAACATGGTATTATTTTTATATATTTGTGAATAGGCTATTGTGATAAAAAATAAATAAATCTACCATTCAGGTATTCAGACAACTGAAAACTGGAGACACGTAAACAATATATAAGAGCTTTTGCAAAAGGGAATTCTGCCCTTGGGCAGAAAACATTTCCCCCAGGAGGGCTGGGGTTTATATACAGGTTCAAGTATACAGTCTCTGCACCTTTCCTGGGTTCACAATCTATCCAAGCTACGTATCTCCCTATCCAGCACCCCTGTTACTATAGCATAACATCTGTTTCCTTGTCCTGTTTACCTGTTCCCATTTCCAGTAATTTCCATCATTAACATGACACTGGTCAGTGTAACCTGCCAAATATGTAACCTTCCTACAAAACAATAGAGAATTGTCACATAACATTCCAATAAATTATAATAGGTTAACACAGTGGTTAAAGATGGTGTTACCATTGCTTTATATTTTCACAGGTATATTTTTATATATCACACTATGATCCAAAAAATCCACAGTTGTGCAGATAGTCTTTGGCTTACAACATTTAGTGACCATTTGAAGTTACAGTGGTGCTGAAAAAATAACAATAGATCAACAGAAGCACCTAGAAATGCCTTTGTTGACTGCTCTCCCTGTTATGGATATTAAATTTTTAAACCAGCCTAAAACTGGGCATGCTTTGAAGAAGAATTTGATAGCTAAATACAACTGTGGGATCCTTCCCGCTCTTTGGGCTTGGTTGGTTTTCCTTGCAGATGTTTCGTTACTGAACTAGGTAACTTCATCAGTGCATCTGTGATGCTGTTATGTAATTGGGTAACAAAACATTTGCAAGACAACAAGCAAGCTCAAAGAAGATCAAGGACCCCACTGTTCAACACTTTAAATGTTCTCTTCCTTTGGAAACATATCTGTCTTTTCTAAAGCATTTTTTTTTAAGTGAAGGGGACCTAGCATTCATTTAGAAATAGAATGATAGGGTTGGAAGGAACCTTGGAGGTCTTATAGTCCATCCCTTTGTTGAAGCAGGCAAATGTCTCTTCTTGAAGCTTCTAGTGATGGAGCTTGCACAATTTCTGAAGGAAAGTCGTTCCACCGATTCATATTAATTGTTCTCACTGCCAGGAAATTTCTCAGTGTGGTGCGGTAGCCTAGAGATGGAGCTCTCACCTCACAATCAAGAGTCTGTGAGTTCGACCCTAGGTAGAGGCAGATATTTCTCTCTCTGAGAATATATCTGCTGAACAAAACTCCACATTGGTGACAGGAAGAGCATCGGCCAGTAAAAACTCTGCTGGCTCCATTCAGTTGCCCAGACTCCACCTCTGTATTATGGGATCGTTAAAAGAAGACAATGCCTGTCAGGACATTTCTCCTCAGTCCTAAGTTAGATCTCTCCTTTTGATAAGCTTCCATCCATTACTTTTGGGGAATCTCTTTTGGTGCACGGCACAGTACAATCACAACTTTACACATGTGTGTTTTATTTCCTCCCGTCCTTTTGCAGCTACCATCGTGCTGAACGAACTGAACTGGACAGGTGCATTAGATGAAGTCTTTAAAAAGAACAGGGAGGAAGATCAAAGTCTGCTGTGGCAAGTTTTCGGCAGCGCGACCGGTCTCGCTAGATACTACCCAGGTAATCTTCCATCTTGTCAGTCGATATTCCCTATCATGCCTCTTGCCTTCTTCTCTAGACTTGCTCCATGGAAATCAGGGGATATATTTTTAATGGGGCTGGAGGGGAAGAGGCAGATGGTTTTCCTCTCTGATATAATGCTCTTTGAATAGAAAATAGAATAAAATAGGAATTGGAATTGGAATTGGAATTGGAATTGGAATAGGAATGGAATGGAATGGAATGGAATGGAATAGAATAGAATAGAATAGAATAGAATAGAATAGAATAGAATAGAATAGAAT